TTTGATATTTTTGGATTTTTTTCAATTGTGCCGATTTGTGCTGCGACAGTACAACAACTTTTTCTAATGGCAAAATCACCTCAGATCAACAGATTTCGCGGTATCGACGAAGTTATGCATCAGCCGTTAAGAATTTTTAGGAATGAAAAACTTCAAACCCATATAACTGTATAACTAAGCGAAAGGTGTGAGATAATCGAATTTTGCGAGTTATGCTGTGTTGTGCTACTCAAGATCTACTAAGCACGCGTATAAACAATAGGGATTAGTTATGGTGTTGATAAAAATTTTTGTAATGATGGTGATAAATAAAGCATTTGTCATTTTTTAATTTTCTCTAATTGTGTCTGATCGAACTGGAATCTAATCAAACAACATTTTTAAATGACAACACCAATTTTAAATGTCGTACCAGACGATTTGTTTTTTTTACACAAGGTATTCCTGCCATTCCTGACCTTATAAATGTTCAAAGTTGACATACACCGCCGGCATTTGTGTTATCCGATGTACACCGCTGGGAGGTTATTCGGCCTTTTTTCAAAAATTTTTACCAAGCCTTAAGCTAATCTCAACTTTTTATACGCGTGCTTCGTAGATTTGAGTAGCACAACATAGCACAACTCGTAAAATTCGATTATCTTACACTATTCGCAAGTTACATGGGCTTGAAGTTTTTCATTCATAAAAATTTCTAAGGCCAGCATAAATTTTTTTTTTTTGGAAAATGGTTCATATTATTGAGTTGCGGTTTGCGACACAATGTGGCACAAATGCAGCACAAAACAATGCAATCAAGAAAAATCCAAAGTTCGAAAAGTGCGGGGCCAACTTCACACACGTGATGGTTCCTGTGAATTTTTTTGTGTATTTAATATATCTGAATTTATATAGTGAATTAAATAATAGAAGACAAAAACAATCAGTCAAAATTAAATTTTATTTGCAATATATTGTATAAACTCTTTACTTCAAAATAAATACCATAACAGTGTATACATATAAGTATACAAAATTATATAATATGTTTATTTGTTGTGTGTGTGTGTGTGTGTGTGTGTGTGTGTGCGTGTGCGTGTGCGCGCGCGCGCGTACATATACAGGGTGGGCCATCTAACGTTTTCAATTTCAACTACCGATTACTTTGATTTTGGCAACACTTACATCATCCGTGTTATGAGAGAAAGTTAGTTTTATGTTTGACATTTACAAAATGAGTCGCTTTTCGCTTGAACAAAAGTGGGAAATATTGAAAACATATTTCCAAAATAGTGAGTCTTCTACTGAAACTGTAAGAAAATTACAAAAAATTTTTGGTAAACAAAACGTGCCTTCAAGTCAGTATGTGAATCAATTTGTGAAGCGAGTTCGTGAAACTGGATCGTTGTTGGATAAAACAACACGTTCTCGTGCTCCTACAGTGCGGACAGCTGAAAACATTGCCACTGTTGCTCAGAGTGTTAGTGAACAACCATCAACATCAACTCGTCATCGTTCTCAAGAATTGAACATTTCTCGCACTTCTTTGAGGAGAATTTTGCATAAAGACCTCGGTATGAAGGCTTACAAAGTTCAATTAGTCCAAGAACTGAAGCCTCATGACCATCCGTTGCGTTTCCGGTTCGCCCAATGGGTTGAAGATCGTTTAGCCGAAGATGGGCATTTTTACCGAAAAATCATCTTTTCAGATGAAGCTCATTTTCACATCGGAGGTTATGTTAATAAACAAAATTGTCGGATCTGGGGCTCAGAAAATCCACACGTCGCCATGGAGAAGCCAATGCATCCTCAACGAGTGACCGTTTGGTGCGGATTGTGGTCTGGAGGCATCATTGGACCATTTTTCTTCGAAAATCAGCAAGGAGTCGCCGTTACAGTCAATGGCGAGCGTTACCGCTCTATGTTAGCCAATTTTTTGTTTACCGAAATTGAAGATGATGACACAGATGACATTTGGTTTCAACAGGATGGCGCTACGAGCCACACAGCCAACGTTACAATCGATCTTTTGCGCGGTGTTTTCGAAAATCGAATAATCAGCCGAAATGCTGATGTCAATTGGCCGCCTAGAAGCTGTGACTTGACTCCATTGGATTATTTTTTGTGGGGTGCCGTTAAAGATAAATGTTACGCTAATCATCCAGAGACAATTGATGCCTTGAAACACGAGATTGAAGTTGCCATTCATGAAATTCAAGCTCATACAATCGAAAAAGTACTTCAAAATTGGGTTCATCGTATGGGCTACTGTAAGGCCAGTCGTGGAAGTCATTTAAATGAAATTGTGTTCCATTCTTAAATGTCAAAGTGCACTCTTTTGAATACAAAAAAAAATTTTTTTAAATACCAATGCGTTTTATTTTTACAGCTAAATGAAATTGAAAACGTTAGATGGCCCACCCTGTATAAAAATATATTAAGAATAAAAATAAAAAATAATAAAACTAAATTTAACTATCACGTTTTATGTTTAATAAATTATATTATTGTTAAAAGAATAATTGCACTTACCTATATTTTACAAAGAGGATTATATTGTGCAAATAATTTTAATATATGAAATATTTTATCAAACTTATCAGCTTCAACTCAAGTTGACACGTGTCGTTAAAAGCCACATAAATAAAATGGATCCATTAAACTCATTTATACTTACATTAGTACAAAGACATAATTTTATAAGTATAGTTATGTACATAATTGTTTATACCTTGTAAATATTATAAATCTTTAATATTTCCGCCATTCTTTCTACTTTTTCTGCGGATCTCGGGCCGAGGACCCCAAGCCTTGACTCAGACAAGTCTACCAGGCTCTCACTGAATCGGTCACGATCGGCTCGACGCGTCAAACCTATTGTTCGCAACCCTAAGGTCAATCGCCACTCTCGGCGTTCTCAGCCCGATCTCCACGGAGCCGTGATCACTAGTTGTCCAATCTTGCCTTGCAACCGCCTTCTCGTTCCTCGAAGGTCGATGCGAATCGTTTTTCGAATTTATAAAAATAATCAGACATAAATAAAAAATTCCACAGACGCCGAATGAAGTACACGAATTGCTGGGACGAAAACCCGAAGAAAAAATAAACTACCGGAGGAGAGAGTCACAAGCCAGGTGCAGGACACCAAGACCCCTCCCCGAATATAATAAAATCTTCTCGATAAACACAAAAACACACAGAATTGTATAATACACTTTACAAGACAATATATTTTAATCTTAACAGTATCAATAATATTATGCATGATTAAGTGATTTCATTAATAAATAATCAATAGATATAAGCAATTACAAATGTTAAACAATAAAATAGCGAGCTTCGTAAAAGGAACCTTAAGATACATTAAGATTATAATTTTCCTATTACTATTAACATTTTTTTCAGAGGCCGAAGAGCAACTACACAATGATAAAAATACATTCTAACACATACAGATTCGTACGAGCTAAATAGAGCTCCATGTAAAATTAACTTTCTACATTTTATTAAATTTCATTCATTCAAGTTAAGAATACACACACACAAGTACAGGTTCATACAAAATTACTCAAGTTATTTCAATTTCGTATAATAAATCAACCTAACTAAGACTCCTTATAAATCAAAAAACAATGAAAGAACAAGGGCAGTAGGAGTCAAGCGCGGGAGATGTTGCGCAAATAACACGACTATCGTAGCGTGAAACTTCTTTATTTTACTAAAGCGCTTACATGTTTCGGCTCATTTTTGAGCCTTCTTCAGAGATAACAAATAAATTCACATACATAAAATATAACAATTATTAACTAGTCATGGTGATCTTCCTCACCTCGAGAGTATAAATGCCAGAATTAAATCCAGATAAGAATGCAGTAAAAAAGAAAAAAGGGAAAGAAATTTTGAAATTCTCGAAATAAAGAAAATGTAAAACTAATGTATCAATGTGACACAGTGTCGCTCGTGCACAGGAAGAAGTCGGTCGGGCGTTGACTTTAGATCATTTTCGGGGATTCCTTTTCTTGATTTTGATTAATTTTTTAACGCTAGTTTTCTAATTACTGTCTCAATAAAGACCAATTAAATCAATAAGAGACTAACTGTGTCTGACACTGACTGGCCAACT